CAAACTTTTTAGCAGGGCCTGTTGCGACAGGACAAGGGGGAATGGCTTTAACCTAAAGGGGGCTAGATTTAGACTAGATATAAGGAAGACATTTTTTTACGCTGAGGGTGGTGAAACACTGGCCCAGGTTGCCCCGAGAGGTGGTGGATGCCCCATCCCTGGAAACATTCCAGGTCAGGTTGGACGGGGCTCTGAGCAACCTGCTCTAGTTGAAGATGTCCCTGCCCACGGCAGGGGGGTTGGACTAAGATGACCTTAGAGGTCCCTTCCAACCCAAACCATTCTATGATTCTATTCTGCGATTTTCAAGGCCAAGAGGAGCTGGTGGGCTTTAACTTCATTTTAAGTGTAACTGTTGCATCCCATAGGGAATGCAAACCTCACCGCAACGCATGTGAATTTTATGTGGCAGGTTTGACATTTCAGAAAGAAAAGCAGGACCTCCAGGTGCCCCCTACCTTGCTTTTCCTCCTCACCTGTTGGTGGATCCATTGTAACAGTAGTTGGGTAGAAAGTCAAAGTTGAGTTCCCAGAAGACGTGGAGGGTGATGCGCCCATAGGGTGCGGAGACGTTGTGGTTGGCCTCCCGGAACATGGCATCAAAGCTGTCCAAAGTCATATGCTTGCACAGCAACCTGTGAGTCAGGCGATTTATTTCCAAGAGCCACTCCAGCTCCTGCAGCACATAAAGCAGCAGCAGATGCAACATGTTACCAAGGTGACAATAGAAAAAGCTGATTTATTTGCCAAGGGAATGATTTTATATCCACACCCACACAGAACTTTCCAGGTGAGGATGTAGCAAATGCTAAAGACATGAATTTAACTCAGTGGCCGAGGCCAATTGCACTTCCACGCAAGGGGGTCCTGGTCCAGTATCTTGTAAACCTGCAGGAAGCAAAAGTGATTTGTTCCCCACTGAGCACTGGCTGGCTTTCACATCAGTATCCTCCAAAGGTGGAAACTGGTAATTTTACACTACTTGACTCTGATGCTCCTATAACATATCAAAGACAGCAAATCCTGTACATACGCAAACAATGTCTCAGTCACCTTCATCCAACAGGGGGAGTTAAAGTCAAGATTTCCTTCGCACAGGTTACAGCACTCTCTTATGTGAGCTCTGCAAAATCTAACTGCTGACTGTCACCTTATGATTTATGCAGATACTTAATGATCCAATAATAATGCAATTAAAGCTGCATAAATAGAAATAGTAGAGACTCAGCAACATGGCTGGCTGAAATCTACTGTAAGCAGGACGTGAAGCAGAGGACAGTTGACTGTGTATCCATAGCAGTGTATTATTCTCTCTATTCATACTCTCAGTCAATAACAGTTCTTACCACTATGGATGTCAGGTCCTCACTCTCAAAGCGGCTAATGGCCTGGTCTAACGATTTGTACATCGCTGCTGAGATACGCTGGGTAATGAGCCTGTTCAGGTCAATTGATCTACCCAGCAACTGGAAAAAGAAGGGAAGATATTTGCATGTTATATACAGATGGGGAAAAGGTACTTTATTTTTTTCTAACAGTCACAAATTAAAACCAAACATCCAAATCTGCTTAAATGTGAAAGTGGTGATGCAAATGCCTCGGTTGAGTTTACCATTACTTAAGAGGGAAGGAGGGAAATGTGGAGCGTAACTCATTTTCCCCTTGGGCCCCATGCATGAGTGGGGTGTGTCAGAAACAGGTTCAACCCTTCTCATTCCAGCACCAACCTCAGTTGAGCCCAGCACTAGGATGCCTCCCACCAACAAAAGGATAACAGACAAGAGCTACAAGTACTGGAGTCTACTGCTTGTGCTGTACCTGGACATGCCTCTGCTTGAGCAGTGTTTCGTAGCGGTTGGATGGTGGGTATGGAATAATCACCCCGTAATTCTTACATTCAGCCCGGAAACGTTTGTCCAATAAAACACTGAAAAAGGAAGCAGTGTCAGGAAAAAAGAAACATACACTATCAGCTTCTCTCTGGATCTTTTCCAGAGTTGTTTTCATCCTTCTTTTCATCTTGCTCTGAATGCCAAGAAATTTCCACACACTAACAACTCTGCTTACACCACTAAATCACAGAGCAGTGGTTGTTAGCTGGGGACTACCATGCTGTTGTCCACCATTCTTGGCTTTTATGGCTAAAACATTCAAAAAGATAAAAGATTGTGCTGAAAGATATCACTAGTGCCAGGTACTGGTGTGCTCCCTGCTTGAAGATCTGCTGTGGGAACATTTGATTGGTGATGGTGATTGCTCTCCTTCTCTAAGGCCAAATGTGATCTAGAGACAAAACTCCTTGCAGAGTTACACTGAAGACTTAGTTCACCTTTGGGGACATGAGAGGAGGACTCTCAGTAGAGTTCATCCATGTTCTTTAAATGGTTAGAAGGAAATGTCACAAACGGCCTATCTCCCCACAAGGGAGCAAGCGACTCTGCAGAAGTCCTACAGTCAGCTGGTCTGATGTGTGACCTGTGATACTGAGTACCCTTCTGGCCTTTACAAGTCCTGCTGCTTTACTAGGGTGAGGGCAAGTGCATGTTCCTGTTTCTTAGAGATGGGTGACTTCCACTCCTCATCTGCCTGGTACACAAACAGAAGTCAAGCAAGGACATGTCTTCAATAGGCTCGGTTTGCTTTTCTGCTGCTCTCACAAATTGTACTCGGACAGCTACTTAGGATGCCAATTACTATTTTTTCACTTTTAACCACGTCTCCTTACCACCGTTAATTTATTTTCCCCATCCACACTGGTCTGACATGGACAGACAGCTCTGTGGGACAGGGATGATCTATTTTGTTATGTCTACCCACGGTGGCTACTCCCTGAGGGGAACTTTTTGGTTAACAGCAATTTGGATGCAGCAATATCATCACTCAGCAGCAGCGGACAGGTTCTCCTACCTGCCAGCCATTGCTTTATAATAGGCAAAGATCTGATCTGCCAGCTTGTACACAAATTGATCAAAGCACAAATTCACCTGGGGGAGAAAAAAACAAGACATTGTGAGGGTGTCACCAACACAGGGCAGCTCCTTCCTACGCATGCAAGATCAATACAACTCAATAGAGAGCTCTAATTTAATACATACATATATGCCACACTATCTAAAAACTGCACTGCAGTCCTAACATGCTAAAAGTAAGCAGAAAATTGCAGATACATTTCTCTCTTACAGTTTCTGCATGTTCTTACAGGTCCCGGTCCCCCATCCCCAATCACCCTTTTGTCTCAGGGATCTCCGTTTCTCATTTTCCTCTGATGTCTCCTAACCTTCTGCCCATCAGACAGCCTCTTCCATGCCCCCACTGTTTGACAGCCTTTGGCTTCCACTGTTCCCCATGGGTACAGCTGAGCTGAAGCCCTTAATCAGCAGTTTGTAAGCTCTCTGGAGATTTTGATCTTTTGAAAACTTCTCAGTCTGATGGGGTATTTTTTTCAGGAGATGCCTATAATGACTTCACTGAACTGCTGGGCGGGGCTGTCAAACAGGGCAATGTGACCCCGGTGAGCTCTTTCCATACAAAAAAGATGAAGAGAACTTACTTCAGCTTCAATTTCATCATATAGGAATTGCTTTTTGAACTTGGTCAAGGCATAGTATGCGCTGTCATTATAGAGGTCCAAGGGGTACAGTACATACCTGAGGGCAAGAAGACAGATCATGTCTTAAATTAACCTTGGAGCAGCATAAATGGCAGCCAGTGCATGTGCCTGACTTGGTGCAAAAAATAGTTTTTCTCCGACTTGACTCCTATCATCTCCACTCACTCCAGCCCCTCAAATCCTCCCTCTTGCTCCCTATGTCAGAGTTGCTGGAAGCAGCTAGAACACATCTGGATTTGAGCTA